CTGGGCCCTGAACTCTGGCTGTCAGAAGACCCCACTCAGATCACGGCTGTCACAGGAAAGGGTGCAGTGAATCTCACACACATCAGCGGCCAACACCCCATTCGGGGTGGTAGAGATACAGGTATAGGTATAAAATTAATACAGCTCTAAGACACAGTTCCTCCTGGTTGGTGGGTCGGTGTCTATATTTTCTATTGACCTTCCCCTAACAAATAAAATAAGATGGATTTTGTCTGTTTCTTCTTCTTTCAAATTAACAAAATTTACCCTCAATTTGCTTAAAAGGGGGGAAGAAAGCCTGTGTCTAATTTGTTCTGATACATTTATTAAATGTAATCATACAGTAAAAAAATTCAGAGATGTTAAAAACAGCAGGAAAATATTAAACTTTCAGTGTACAAAGTTTGAATCATGAAATATGTTTTGTGGGGCTCTCCCTGAAATGGGACACAACCCTAATGACGTTCACAATTACTTGCTACGAGGCTCGACGTAACGCAGAAGGCAGAGATAGAGTAACACGTCTTCCCAATGTGCTCTTTCTTCATGGAGACCAGATTCTGGGCTGCATCACCGCTGAGGATTCTGCTGGCTTTAGGAGCATGGAGTTTAGAGTTCTTTCTTCCTAGTCCACATTTCTTTTTTTATTAGGACTGAAGTAAGCTCATGGAAAATATTATTCACTTTTTGGGAGATGAAACCTGTTTCTTCCCTCATTCCCCTCTTTTTTCTCATCTCCCCCGCACCCCAACCAGAAACGTCTAAGCAAATGCCCCCACTTAGGAATCCAGTGTGGAAAGAAGAAAACTTCTGGGAACTACCATTTCATTTTTTAACGAAAACCCAAGGTGCTCTTGAGTGCCTTGAGATGATGGCTCGGAGAAGGATTTCCTTAGACTCCAAAGGATTCGTTCATGTTGGAGAAGCAGTTCACATTGATTTATCTCTGGTCGTGAACAAGCAAGATTCAAGATAACACTTCACACACACACGCGCTGTATTAGTCATCTTGGGCTGCCATAACGAAGTACCTCAGACTGAGTGGCTTGAACAACAGAAATTTATTTTCACACAATTCTGGAGGCTAGAAATCCAAAATCAAGGTGTCGGCAGGGTGGGTTTCTTCTGAGGCCTCTCCTTGGCTTGTAGATGATCGTCTTCTCCTCCCTGTGTCCTCACATGGTCTTCCCTCTGTGTGTCCTGTTCTTATAAGGACACCAGGAAATGCTATGAAGAAAAATAAGTTGAGGTAAGGAGATGGGGAGTGATGGTGGTGGGTGGGGCAGCTGTGTTAGACAGAAGGACCAGAGACGGCCTCCCTGCAGTGGGAACTTCTGACCAGAGACAGGAATGAGACAAGGGAGAGAGCCCCATGGGGATCTGGGGGGAGTGCTCCAGACAGAGGGAACAGTGTCACCAAACCCCAGGCTGAGATGTTGTTGTGAAGAGTGGAGATGATACATCATGTGTAACACGGAACATAAAATTGGTCGTCAGTAATGGCCTCCGTGACTGTCCCTTCTCTTGGCACATCCTGTGGTACTGGTTTATTAAGCCATGTGAAAGGAACAAGTGCTGGGTTGTGACCTGGTGTGGGAAGTGCCTCATGCAGCCATGCTCAGTCATATCCCTCCTCCCTCCAGAACACTCTATGGCTCCCTTTGCCCACATCTGCTCTGTTGGTTTCTGGGTCTCTCCCCATCTGCCTCCCCCTAACACCTACCTCTGTCCTTGCAATCCCCCATTCCTATCCCAAGCTTTTTTCTTGGGGTCTTTCTTTCTCAGGCACCCTTTTATCTCCCACATCATAAGATTATGGATGACTTTACCTTTTTTCCTTTTGTTTTTCTCTATTTTCTGATTTTTTTAATGCTTATGTGTTGCTTTTAGGAATTAATTAAAAAAACCCAAAAGTTCATTTTTTAGTTAGAAAATGACACAGACACATACACACACAAACTGTTTATAATCATTTGTCCCCAAAGATAGGGGCCCCAAATTTAGAATTTAAGTTCCTCAAGAAGATGGCTGCAAGTCCCCGACTGGTGACTTCTCTCTGTCGTGTGTTTCTCTAAACTCGCATACGGATTCACACAGAACACGGATGCCCGAGAGTTTTGGAACCTTGTCAGTTTCTAAATGGGCTGCCTCAGATATCCCAAGGATGTAGACTTTTATGAGCATGGGCCTCTCTGACCTTTTCTAAGGGAATTTGGTCATAAATGTGCTCCTGGCAGTTTCAGGAGATTGGAAGCGACAGCCGTTGCCTCGCGCCTGGTTGGCCTTGGAGTTTTCTCGTTGCTGTTTCCGTTTCAGTTGCCTGGAAGCCCTGTGAGGGCTGTAAGCCTTGTTACCTCAGCTCTGTCAGGGATCTGGAGAGGCTAGAATTATCAGGAGAACAGGCATGCAGTTTTACTCGATTTTCAACCTAGAAGAGGTGTTCAAAGCTGAGTGTCACTACCTAGACAAGAAATAAATTTTCTTGCATTTGAAGAACTAATTAATATAAGATAGAACATCTTTATGTTCCCAGGGCTCTATTGCCTGTTCTCTGAGAGACTATTGGTATTTGTTTGCTGATTCTTTTGAGTAAATTATCTCTCAGGCCCTGATGGCCTGGTGTCCAGGGCAGAGTGTGAACAAGTTCAGAAGTATCAGAGAACAACAAAGAACCCATTACTCCCTCCCTTGCTGGGGGAGACCAGAACAAAATGCTCAAAGAAAAAGTATTTTGGTTCTTCAAAATTATTATTTTGAGCACTTAGCAGCAATGCTTCTTACGTATAACTGCTTCTTCCCAACACTGAGGTGGTATATTTGGTGTGAATCTTTTCCACACCAGAACCTGAGAGATTATTCGGGAACATTCCAACATAGCCCTCAAGCCTCACTTTCTTCATCTGTAAAATGGGGTAACGCCTACCTCACAGGGCTGTTGTGAGGATGAAAAGGATTAAGTGAGATAATAAATGAAGTTTGGGTAAAGCATCCAGCACAGAATCTGGCTTGTGGTGGATGCTTGTTAAATGGTAGAATTATGATGATGAAAATGAGTCAGCTATGGCCCTTGTGGGGGAAACACTCTGAGGCATGATCACATTCAGTCAGAACCTAATTTCATGTGGTTTGCCTGTGGGGCGGGTTTAACCCTGTGGTTACTGGGGGGAGAGGGGTGAAGGGGAGGTTGAACTTCTCCAGGTTGGAAATGTTACTAATTTATTTTTCCATAAATACAATGAGTTTACCTTTATGAGAGGAATTCAGTATCCCTGTGGGTTTGTGAAGACACCTTTGCTTCTGTAAACTGTATATGATGACACTGGGGGAAGAGGGAGAATCTCCCTCTGCCCTTTTCCTTCAGGTTCTTATGGCTGGCCAAATAATTAACAAGACAGGTTAGCAGGCGAAAATAATACCAAGTTTAATAACATGTATACATGGGAGAAACTCAGAAATGAGCAACTCGTC